AGCATGCTATACTTGGAATATCTGTAACCTTATTGACAGTTGATTGCTTAAATCCTATCGAATTGGTAAATGGATTTCTAAAAAAAAAGAATTAAACTTCATTTTTCTAAATTGTTAAAAGAGAGTTGGTTTTCTTTGGATAATTGTTTCCTGATAACTTCTTGATTGATTGTTTATGCGTGTTTAATTCTGGAATGGGCCGAACACCTCGGCAGATTAAATAGATGCATTTATGGTTCGCGCCGTTCGACCCTCGGCAGTGCACATTTTACATTTATGTTGGATCGGGCAGTACGACCTCAGCATGGTTTGCGCATGCTTGTATTGCTTGCCTGGAAACTTATTGAAGTTGTATTGCCTCTTCCCGGTTTGAGAATATTTGTATAAATGATGAAAAGGAATTTGGAAATTTTCTATAAAAGAAAGAATCTCTTACCTGCTTCATTCCATTGAACTACAATCATGTTTATAAAAATCACCGATTTACTATATTATTGAGATAACATTATTGGACCACTAGTAAATGTCGAAGTCGACCTCTCGTCTCTACTTCTTCTAGATTAGACGGGATACTCATTGGGTACACATTGTTTTCGTACTCATACTACACTTCTGTGCATTTTTGTTGCACAGGCACATGCATCTCTAGTGGCCTACTGGGCGTAGCAGCATGGTTGATACGGAGACGTAGGTGAGTTGCATTTTCCACAACGACTCGCAACCAGCAAGTCTCTTTCATATTACTGTATTTATTTTTATCCAATATTGTATTCCAGACAGTTGTTGTATTCCATTATTTCGTAAAAATTGCTCACGTACTTGTGACACCGGGTTTTGGGATGATCACGGGATTTTTCAGTAGTTTAAATTTTGTAAAGACACCCTCATTTATCCAGCGGATTTTATTATTAATTATTTATTTGTTTAAAGGAAATATTTTCTAAATAATTAAAATGAGAAATTAATTAAGTATATGGTTGGCTTGCCTGACAGCGGTGTCCGGCGCCGTCACGACCCTTAGTGGATTTTGGGTTGTGACAACATGGTATCAGAGCACTAGGTTCCCTTAGGTCTCACGAGTCATGAGCAAGTCTAGTAGAGTCTCGCGGATTGGTACAAAGATGTGTGTACTTATCTTCGGGAGGCTACAGGGCTGTTAGGAGTACTTCCCTTCTTGATTCCTTATCGTGCGGTTTGATTCCTTTGAGGCTTATGCCTTTATTTCTTTCCTACTCAATCTTATGCGACGTGAAGTGCTTGTTATAAATCGAGAATTGAAGAATTGTGATAGTACTATAGATGTGGTATGAGATGTTTCTCCTGGTATAGTTGGTTGGGCTATTGTCGTCGCCTTGCGGAGGGATTTTTCTATTATTTCGGCTCAGTAGTTGTGCTTCTAAGAGCTTGGAGGTTATGCACAGGTTGCTATGATGCTCACGATTAGTTATCATACAATATTGACTTGATAGTAGGATACTTGCCTATGTGTTGGGGCAGTAAATGATTTAAAAGGAAGTCTACTTAGTGCACGATTCAGACAAATGATATTTCATTTTCGGCAGAGGAAAAACAATTGGCCTAGGGATGTCCAGATTTGGAGTGATGGAGTAACAACATTTAGTGATTTCAATGTATGATGGGATTTTCATCTGCGACGTGGTTTCGTCGTCCGTGATTGAATATGTTAAGTTCGTCGGTGTTATGGTTCTCTTCAATCTGCCTTTGGGCTAGGGTATTGTGGAATAATATTGGAGATACGACTGTCAGAGATCGCAAGGTGCGGTGGTTCAGGATTGAATCAGTATTTCTAATGTTGACGGCTCAAGAAAGATGATCTTCGGAAAGGTTTAAAGTTAGTAGCGATTTATGGGTTCAAGTGCTACGAAGATAGATTTTATTTAAGGCAATAACTGAGCAGCAAAGGATGAGGAAAGACATGTGAGGAGTGTCAGGCGGTGGCTAAAATTTCTAGAAGGCCAAGTATAAGAGGCAAAGGTCGAGTAGTCGATTAAAAGGGTGAGTTCCGCCAAAGTGGGAGAGTGGTGAAGTTGTGTATGAGCTTGGTGGTAGTATTACTACACACATTAAGGAGAGTTTGGAATGGTTTGGGAATTTTAGTGATGGGTGATTGGGGTCTACGGATTTAAGCTGAACTATGGGCTATTATGCGACAGAAGATTTGGTATGACGGAAAGAAGCTGCTTGAGATGAAGAAGGATACAACATAACTTTGAATTGGAAGGATGTTGCCGCACATCTAATTGATGTCCACGAGGGGTGAATGGACTTGTGCAGCTAGAGAGTGAGCTCGGACTCAAGATGGGTTATTGATGTCGTAGTGATTGTACCCCATGCAGCAGTGATGGAAGTTGTCGGAAAGTGATTTCCACAGGTGGGTTATTCCCTATGAGCAGCTTCTACAGAGGATTTTACTGGCCATTCCGATAAGAGGTCGAATATGTGAATGTTGATGGGAATTCAGGGTGTTCATGAAGTGCTAATGGAGGGATTTCAAGGAATCTGTCGGTTTAATTACGCGAGGTCATGTCAATGAGAGATAAAGGATCTTGGTGAATTCGAGAGGTATGTAATAGTGGCTTCAAGCTAAGTGGGAGAGTCCCACCGCCTACGATTGGATTGCATGATCATCTAATTGTGAGATTTCTGGTTATTAGCATATTGGTGGGTTATTTTAGCTAAGGGAGAGTAACCTAAGAGGTGATTTGAGAAAAGTAATTGTTAAAGGTGTGCTATGGTTGGCCTTATTAGCTTATGTTCAGACGCGGGGAAGGATTCTGGATTTATGCCTTGTAGGGATGCAGGTTTCACGGGAAGTGATTCTGCTGGGTGCTTCGTTGAGAGGGTATTCATGTGCTAGAAGATTCATGAAGTTGATTATATTTAGGGCCAAGTCAGAGCGGGTGGCTCTCAACAACGGTCCTAGCGAATTCAAAAGTTAAAGTGTGGTGCCTAATGATTTTGAGCCTATAGGTACGGTTAAGAATCAAACTTTTGTAGCAGCTTATGAGAGGAGGCCTATAATGTTCTATGATGTTTTGACTTGCAGTGTAGCATTTGGGAGGCAAATGAGAAAAGACTTCGGATTCATAGAGGGATTATCAGAAGGGGCATACTAGTTGAGAATGTGAATGTGCGCTTAAGTCTGTCGCCTACAGACACAAAAATATTGGCCAAATGGAAGAGACACAATTCGAATAGAATTGGTTTCATATGAAAGACATATAATTTTGTCTATGTTATTCAAATACTTGAAAGTATAAGTCAATTGTATGTGAAACCAGTTTTCGATATCTTATATGTCTAGCATAACATGAAAACTTGATATGCATCTAAAGTCTATTATATGGCTTATATGATTTAACTTATATGTCAATCCATGAAGAACTTAAATTGCTTAAAGCATATAAAATTTTTGGTCATGAAGTACTACATCCTAAGTACAATTTGTACACAAATGTATCTTGCTATATTTACACGCATGATAATATCATAGCAAGAGTTTTTGCCTCTATGTGATCATATTGAAATGACGATTCCAACAAGATCATATGAAGACAATTCATCTCTATCAAGAATGATGATTTCAAGGTTCAACATATTCATTCAAGTTAATATGGTTGATTTGTTTATCAAATCTCTACCAACGATCTTTCGAAGATGGTGCACAAGATTAGAATGCAAAGGCTCAAAGATGCGAATTGATGCTCTCATCAGTGGGAGTTAATACGCGTTTTACTCTTTTTCCCTTACAGGGTTTTGCCCCACTTGGTTTTCCTTGCGTGGTTTTTAACGAGGCAACCAAAAGGCGTATTATTAGATATCTGTACTCTTTTTCCTTTTCTAGAATTTTTTCCATTGGGTTTTATTTTAGTTAAGGTTTTAACGAGGCACATTATCTGTTAAATAGACATTCAAGGGGGAGTATTATAAATAGAATTTTATTTATAGTGAATGTCTATATTTAGAGAGATTCTAGGGTTTATTACTTGGTGGCTAAGTCACCCTCTCCCTATAAATAGTGGGTTCTATTCCGTTGTAAATCATCCCAAATCAATAAGAATTCCATCTTCCTGCTTTTCTCCGCAATACGCTTCTTCTTCTTTTATTGTTTTATAATAGATAATATCTATTGGGTTTGATATTTGAACTTATTACTATTTGCATATGGATAGTGGACTAATATAAAGTATAAAAATTTCGAATTTTCGGATATCTAAAAAATCGAAATATCAAATCTAAAATCCAAAAATTTTAAAAACTAAATCCAAAATCCAATCCGTAATACGAAAATCCAAGCCAAAAATCTAAAAAAATCGAATTTGGGTTTGAATTGTTTTCACAAAATTTAGAGGCAAATATGGACCTTTTCCGTTAAGAAAAGGTAACCTCGCACTGAAATGATTGGTTCGATGTTGAGATGGTGGGTGCACACTTCATCCCATGATCTGTTTTTTGGTTTTTTTCCAAATTATTTTCCTTTTTCAAAAGGAAGAACAAAATTTTAAAGTTGTATGTTTGACCTTTTTGCGAGTCCAGCCTTGAAACTTTTTACCTTTCTTTTTAAATGTAAGCAAAAGATGGAAATCCATGAGCACCTAGTTCTTTCTCCATCTCTTCTTCTACACAATTACCTACCATGTCCGGTTTTCTAAAGGTATACCTTGACTTTGATTAGTTTGTGGCCTGAAGTAACATATATTCATATATATAATTTGAACCATTAAATACTTAACCAAAGTAAAGTGCATTTCACATATTGAGGTCCAAAACATAAATAATAGAATCTCTAACAACGTACATCAAGGTGCATGGATATTGAAGTTCAAATCATTAGTCAAGAACAAGACACCAAAGAACAAACACAAAAACAAAGTCAAGAGTCTAAGACAATATAATTAGTCCATATAAATGAAATGAAACCGCGTCACACAACCATAATATAATGGTACAATCAACTTGCACAGCCGTCGTATCGATCATCAAAAGCATGCATCTAAGAGACAGCAACAACACAGAGCAGCCAAACATCCTCCCATGAGTCCCGCGCCACCAGATGATTGTTGTTGTTGTTGTTGTTGAGGTGGCGCGTACTGAGGGGCATACTGGGGTGGGTACCCCGGTCCCTGTGGAGGATACCCCTGCGGGGGGTAGCCTTGTGGTGGATACCCTTGTGGTGGAGGGACACCAACAGGAGGTTGTTGATTGTAGTAACTCATCTTAATTCTAATGAAAAATTGGGGATTGAATCTAGCTAGCTAGAGAGAGTTTTTGTGAAAGGAGAATTAGTCTTTTCTTAGGCAGAAAGATAATGGGGTACATTGAAGAGGAGGATATCTGTTCATTTTATAGAGTAAAGTCAAAAGAAGGGATTTTGGCGTAACTGGTAAAATTGCTGTCTTGTGATCAGGATCTCACGAGTTCGAGTTACGGCAACAGTCTCTTACAGGAATGCAAGATAAGCTGTGTAAAATGGGCCCTTGTGATCCGGCCTTTCCTTAAACCCTGCGTGTAGCGGTAACGTAGTGGAGACAACGAGGACTAGGTCACTGATTTAAAGAAACAACCTTATTTTATTTATTTTTCTCGGTGACATTTTTTTTTTTTTTTGGCTGGGTCAAAGAAATTAAATCTGGTGAAGATGGTATAGAAAAAGCATTGAAAATTAAGAGGGAGCTGTGATAGGTTGCGTGGAATGAATCAAAGTCGGAGGGCAGCGAAGCGTCTTTGTACATCCTTAACCTATCACATGGTTAACTAAAAACATCCTTAATGTATTACAAAATGAACAGATTTAGTCCATAATTAACTTTTGTTGGAAAAAACAACGAAAAGCTAATACACGTGCACAAAACATGAGGCGGTCGGCGATTTTTCCTTTTACAAATTACGAAAGATTTTAACATATATTGGATGAATATCAGAAATAAGACACTTCGCTATTACTTTTGATTTTTTGACGTCCCTTGTTCACAAGCAAAATTTTAAGTTTAATAGGTGTTGTTATTCGTTTGCTCTACGGGCTATAGGCAGTACTTTTGACCTTAAATGTTTGCTAATCAAAAAAACAAGACCAACTATTTTTGTCACGATTCGGGTTTCCCACTCTCGGGATCGTAATGGCGCCTAATCTTTCAGAATACTAGGCAAGCCAACAGATAGAGATTTAAATACGCTAACACTAATCAATTCAATAAATAGCAGCAATTGAAACCAAAGCAGATTAAAGGAGTGCGAAATCTCATAATAATCCAAGTACTAATATACGATTACCCAAAATTTGGTGTCACAATCCACGAACTTCCAAGAGTCACTACAAATACTGGCTGAAAGAAAATACAACTGTCCTCGAAGTAAAAGAAAACAGGAAACTAGGATAACTGGAAGGGGACTCCAGGGTCTGCGAACACCGGCAGATCTACCTTGGGTCTCATGTTGGACTGAAGGCAGAAGCTCCACTCGGGTCAACACGGTCCAGTACCGAAATCTGCACAGAAAGTGCAGAGTGCAGTATCAGTACAACCGACCCCATGTACTGGTAAATACTGAGCCTAACCTCGGTGAAGTATTGACGAGGCTAGGACAAGACACGTACATAAACCTGTGCAGTTAGACAATATACGGGCATAATAACAAATAATAGAAATTAAACACATAATAACGGGAGGGGAAAACATGCTAAGGGAAGTACGAGATTTTGAGAATAGAATAGTAAAGAAAATACAACAAAACAAGTGCATGGCATCACCTTTCGTGCTTTTACTCTCATCCTCTCCATAACAAATGAAAGGAATGATAATAATGAATATGAAATGGCACGGCATCACCCTTCGTGCTTTACGCTCTTCCTCACATGATAATGAATATGCAATGGCACGGCATCACCCTTCGTGCTTTACACTTTTCCTCACCCAAACAACAAAACAATAACAACCAGGTAATAGAATTATTAATAACAACTCCCATTTCAACATTTAGTTTCACAGCGTCAACCGCAACTTTAAGGCAAAACTCAACCAATATCCAATTCCAGGAAGAAAAACATGATAGAAACTTTCTAACATGAAGAATAACCAGTTTAAGCATGAACAATACGAATAAAGAATATAACAATCACAAGAATAAGACTCACTCGCAAGCTATGACTCGACGACAACGCATAGATACTCGTCATCTCACCTATACGTTGTACTCAACAACTAAACACATAGAAAATAGGCAACAATACTTAACCCCTTAAGCTAAGATTAGCCACAACACTTACCTCGCTACCGCGGCCAACTCAAAGCTCAAACATCATTTTTCCCTTCTCACGAGCTTCCGTACCAATAAAATCTAGCAAATTACCAACCAAATAATTCAATTTAAGCCTTAGGAACTACCCACGATTGCAAGAAATTCAATTTAGACCATTTTGGAAAAAGTCAACACCGGGGCCCGCTTGGTCCAAACCCGAAATTCGGACGAAATCCTGATTACTCATTCACCTCCAAACCTAGATATATGGTTTTGAAATCCGACCTCAAATTGACGTCTAAATCCCCAAATTTTGAAATCCCTAGTTTCTACCCAAAAATTCCCAGTTCCGCCATGAAAATCCTAAATTTTAGGTTAAAATCTTGCTATAAGAAGTGAAAGTTTGAAAGAAATAGGTTAAGAATCATTTGACTATGATTTGGGGAAGAAATGACCTTTGGAAAATCGCCTATTGAGGTTTAGGTTTTGAAAAATGGGAGAATGAATGAAAAATCCCGTCTAAGTGATGACTTATCAGCTGCAGATATCGCATTTGTGACCTGAGCTTCGCAATTGCGAAGCTCACAAATGCGAAGATACCATCGCAAATGTGAGAACTCTCACACCTCTGTTGCCTTCACAATTGTGAAGAAATATTCGCAACTGCAAACATGAATCTCCGCAAATGCGACAAAATGATCGCATTTGCGATCACTGCCCCTCTCAGCTTTACTTCGCAAATGCGAAGTAATCTTCACAAATGCGAAGACTGTATGGCCCAACTTCTAATCGCAATTGCGATGAAAGCCTCACAAATACGGAACCTGCAGGGTTCGCAATTGCGATCCCTGATCTCGCATTTGCGAGATCAAAGGCCTGCAACAAGTTGAGTTATACCAGCAAATTTTCTTATGTCCAAATCACTCTGTAGCATATCCGAAACTCACTGAGCTCTCGAGGCTTCAAACCAAATATGTACACAAGTCTAAAAATATCATGCGGACTTGCTTGTGCGATCAAATCGTCAAAATAACACCTAGAACTACGAATTAAGCACCAAATTGCATGAAATTTTCAAGAAAGTTTCAAAACTTCTATTTTCTCAACCAAAGGTCCGAATCACGTCAACTTAGTCCCGTTTCTCACCAAATTTCACATATAGGATATAAATATTATATTAAACATGTACCAGACTATGAAACCAAAATACGGTGCCGATACCAACGAGATCAAACATTAATTGAATTCTTTAAATCATTAGATTTTCAATCTTACAATTTTTATCAAAAATTCATTTCTCGGGCTTGGGACCTCGGAATTCGATTCCGGGCATACCCCCAGGTCCCATATTTTACTACGGACCTACCGGGGCTGTCAAAATACGGGACCAGGTCCGTTTACCCAAAACCTTGACCGAAGTCAACTAAAATCAACTTTTTAGGCCAAAAATTGTTATTTCATCAATTTTTCCATATAAAGGCTTTCCAGAAATACACCCGGACTGTACACACAAACGAAGAGAGATAAAATGAGGTTTTAAGGCCTTGGAACACGGAATCGAGTTCTAAAACATAAGATAACCTTTTGGATCATTACATTCTCCACCTCTAAAACAATTGTTCGTCCTCGAACGGACATAGAAAAGTACCTGGGCTGGCGAAAAGATGGGGATATCTGCTCTGCATATCGGGTTCGAACTCCCAAGTAGCTGCCTCAACAGGCTGACCTCTCCACTGCACTCGAACCGAAGGATAACTCTTCGATCTCAACTGACGAACCCACCGGTCTAAAATAGCTACCGGCTCCTCCTCGTAGGTCAAATCCTGGTTCAACTAGACAGTGTTGAAGTCTAACACGTGGGATGGATTGCTGTGATACTTCTGAAGCATGGACACATGGAATACTGGATGCACCGCTGACAAGCTTGGTGGCAACGCAAGTCTTTAGGCCACCTCTCCCACTCGATCAAGAATATCAAAAGGCCTGATGAACCTAGGGCTTAACTTGCCCTTCTTCCCACCTACGCTCTTCATGGGTGACACCTGAAGCAACACTCTCTCTCCGACCATGAATGCTACATCACGAACCTTGCGGTCAGCATAACTCTTTTGCCTAGACTGAGCTGTATGAAGTCTCTCCTGAATGATCTTAACCTTATCCATGGCATCTTGTACTAAATCTGTACCCAATAACCGAGCCTCCCTCGTCTCAAACCATCCAATTGGCGATCAACACCGTCTACCATATAATGCCACATAGGGAGCCATCTGGATGCTCGACTGATAGCTGTTGTTGTAGGCAAACTCTGCTAACGGCAAGAACTAATCCCAAGAACCTCCAAAGTCAATAACACAAGCGCGGAACATATCCTCCAAGATCTGAATAGTACGTTCGGACTGGCCATCTGTCTGAGGATGAAATGTTGTGCTCAACTCGACCTGCATACCCAACTCATTATGTACTGCCCTCCAAAAATGCGAAGTAAACTGCGTACCTCGATCAGAAATGATAGACACAGGCACGTCGTGAAGATGAACAATCTCATGGATATGAATCTTTGCCAACCGCTCCAAAGAATAGGAAACTGCCATAGGAATGAAATGCGCTGACTTGGTCAGCCTATCCACAATAACCCAAACTACGTCAAACTTCCTCTGAGTCCGTGGGAGTCTAACAACGAAATCCATAGTGATACGCTCCTACTTCTACTCAGGAATCTCTATCTTCTGAAAGTAAACCACCAGGTCTCTAATGCTCGTACTTTATTTGTTGACAATTTAAACATCGAGCTACATATGCAACAATATCCTTCTTCATCCTCCTCCACCAATAATGCTGTCGTAAGTCCTGATACATCTTAGCGGTGTCCGGATGAATAGAATACCGAGAACTATGGGCCTCCTCTAGAATCAACTCGCGAAGCCCATCTATATTAGGCACACAAACATGACCCTGCATCCTCAAAACTCCATCATATCCCATT